CCGTACAGAACTTCTGGTCCTTCTCTGTTTCAAAAGTGCCAAGGAACCGCTTCCTCCCGCCGACGGTCTGCTCGGAAACCGGCTTCCCCTTCCGCAACCCAAAACCCGGTCCTTTGAAGGGACGTTTGCAGCCTCTCGTCTTGCCTTGGTCGTCCGGTCGAGGAGGTGGGGTGTGACCCGTGACCCTGGCCTTCTTCGCCTTTTCCTGTCGAGCAGCAACGACAATAGAGGTCTTCTCGACAGTCGCCTGACCACGGACGCTGGCCAGCTCCACCACGTCAAGGCTCTCTGTCGCGTGTGCAGCGCGATTCGACGACTTCGTCGCAGCCGGCTTCTTCTTCGACGTTGAAGGGGAGCCCGGATCGCTAAGGCAAACGTTGCCTAGGGACGGAGCAGCGGCGACAGGCGCAACTGGAGGGGTCGAGGAAGACGCCCAATTTCCCGCAAGCCCGACAGCAAGGCCAGCACCACCCCCTTGCGCAGCTGCTGCCGCTTTTGTCTTCGACAGCAACCCAGCTCTTGCTTCTTCCGCTCCTTTCCCCGCACCGCCGCCTGACGGGGTAGAGGCACCTCGCATTCCTAGAGCTCTGTTCCCGGTCGAGGCGACGTGCTCCTTCGAGGCACCACTTTTCTCCCCCGCGACCACTCCTTTCCCACCCGTTTTCCCCATGCCTTGCAGCATGTCCCGCATCGAAGCAAACGCATCAGGTGGATCGATCGGAGCCGCTACGGAGGTCTTCGGGCGGGGCGACTGGTCGAGTACGATGACTTCCTCGACGGGCTTGGCGACGGGATGACGGCCACGCGCCGGTGGGGATCCAACCGGGCTACCGACATGTCCTCCCACCGAAGAAGACGGAGGAACCGACCGCTCGTGACCACGAGGCTCAGCCCCGCTGCGAACCCCTCCCACACCCTCCTGACGCGACCTCGACGACGGGCCTGCCGAGCGCTGAAAACCTCTCGCCATCGCTTCGGTGAGGACTTCCAACCTCCCTGCTTCGGCTTCATGGTAGCCTTCCCTCACAATGTCCTTCAGCTCCTTCATGGTCTCGGGTGGGAGGGTGGAGCAGAACATGTCCTCCATCATGGCTTTCTCGAAACCCTTCAGCACCGCAGCAACCAGCCGCTCCTCGACCTGCTTGAGCTGCTTCTCGACGGCGTCTTCGCTCGCTTTTGTGATGGCGGCTGCCACCCCCTCGATGATCTTCCCGCTCATCTCGTCGATCTTCGCCCGCGCCCCTTCCAACAGGTTCCTCTCCGCCGTGACACCCTTCACAGCCTCGGCGCACTGCGACAGTGTGCTCTTCGACGACTCTGAAATCGTATTCCACGCCGTCCGAAAATCCGCAGCAAGCCTGTTGAATACTCCGGCTTGCTCAGTGTGTTTCGCAAAGACATCGGCGACGAGCTGCTTCTGCGACGCCTCGACCTTCTTGACCCTCTGCAGTAGCTCGACGACCTGGCCTCCCGGTGCAACGTTCACCGTCGACTGGCCTGCCGTCGAAGGCCACCAGGTCGAAGGGCCCGCCTGTCTGCTGCCACTGGCCGTGCGGTGACTCCTTGTTACGGCGGCCTGTCGCTCATCTCCTCGACGATACTCCTCAGCAGCCTCCCAGTCCTCCTGCTCCTGCCCTCCCGACCCACCCACCCGCGCAGCCGCAACCCTAAACGCCTGCTGCTGCACTCCTGCCCCGCCCTCCTGCGCAGCTGCCACGCCCTCCTCCTGCTGCCCTCCTGCCCCGCCCTCCTGCGCAGCCGCCTCGCCCACCACCTGCCGCTGCCCTCCGACCCCACCCTCCTGAGCAGCCGCTCCGCCCTCCTGCTCCTCGACAGCCTTAGTTTCCCCTGTCGCCTGCTGCTCGATAAGCTCTACTCGCTCGTCCACCCGCTCCCCGAGCGCCACTCCGTGCTCCCCCGTACGCTCCGTTATATGTCCGGCGCCCTCGCCGTCGTCCTCGGCCGACTCATCGCTCGAGCTCGAGCCGGAGCTCGTTCCCGAGCTCGAGTCCTCGTCCTCGTTCGCATCGCCGCCCGGGCCGCTCGCCCCGTGCTGAGCCTGCCTCGATGTATCCTCCTCGATCTCCTCCTCCTCCTCGACGCTGTACTCAATCAGGACGCGTCCCGTCTTCTCGCCTCCTCCCTCGTGGTCGGCACCCCCTCCCACACCTGCTCCCTCCGCCAGCTGGTCGATCTTTCTCGAAAACAGCTTCACCATGAACAACGGAAGCACACCCGGGCCAGGGTTCGTTCTCCCTAGATGCACGAGTTCGCCCTTTCGAGGCTGTAGGATGAAGTCGTCCCATTTCGTCAGAATACGGCGCACCCCATGCACGACACGAGCTGCCGCGCCGTTTTCAAAGGGGCTCGACAAGGCCGTCGTCGCCTGCGACGGGTACAAAACATACGTAAGCGACAAAACACATGCTCGACGAAAACGCCGGTGGTCTAAGGAGAGCTTACCAGATGGTCGAACTCGTCGATCAACTCCAGACGAAGGTCCATCACGTTCAACACTTCTTGGTCGCCCTCGGTCAGAGCCTGGTGGGTCATCGCGTACTCGGCGCGAAGCTGCTTCTTCATCCACCTGCGACGCAGCGGACAGAAGAGTAAGATTGTCGAGAACAGCAGATCGACAGCAGGGTGGCAAACCTGTCACTCACACGAAAACTTCTTGCGCCAGGGAAGATTGGTGGTTCATCTCGGGAAATTTGTCTTTCGAATCGAAGTGCATCATTCGAGTTCGACTGCCGCGGTGCCTCGGAGCCAGCAGATCGTCGGGGCGCGATACCACAAACAGGCTCGAGTGGGAGAACGGAGGCACACTCAGTCTGCATGCAGAGCCAATGCACGTGAGAACGGGTTCAGGGCTAAAGACGGAGCACGCAAGGCGACGGGAGAGTAGGCGACGGTAGAGTGTCGAACTCACGGTGTCCGCAGCAGAACGAAAACCACTTGCTTGCCGAGGAGGCCGTCGAGGTGGTTGTTCGCAAAAGCGACCGGAGTGGGGCGTGCCATCTCTTCACGCGCACGCGTCGGAGTCACGATCGACACCTTGGGGAGCTGCTCAACGGACAGCAGCTCATGACAGAACAGGCTGCACGGAAAGCTAAGGCAACGTCAGCGATTAGTAAACCCAAGCATGGCAAACCGAAAATGTTCGACAGGACACGTACACGACGCCCGCGACCATCATGCTCTCGTCGAGCTCTCCTTTCGGTGCCTCTCTAATCGCATTCAGCTGGTCCTCGTACACCTCCACCTCGACCCCGCCGGCACTAAGGATGAGGCCGCGTCAAACCGTCGCCTCGTTCATGACGGGTACGGAGGCGGAGCTCGTAGCCATGTCAGGCCTAGCACTGGAGAGGGCGGGCGTGCAGGGGAGTCGGGAACTAGCAGGGACTAGGAAGTAGGGAAGTAGAAATCGGAAACACCAACAAAATGAGACCGGACGAAGGGTATTACCTGTTTGCCATCCCTCCCACCGCGACGGACCAGGGGGGTTCAAGGGCGAGGAGGCAGGGCGCGTTCCGTTGACGCTGGAGGAGCTCTTCGCGGAGGCCGGCGGGGCCCTATTGGCGTCGACGTGAAACGTGGGGTGGGCCCCCTTGCGTGCTGCCGAAAGGCCCCTTCCAAGGTTCGGGAGGGGGCCTTCGACACGTCACCAAAATCGTGCGGGTTGAACGAAACGGGTTGAACGACATCGGTGGAGCGCGGCGCAGATGGGCGTCGATGTCGTCCGGCCTGCGAAATTTCGCCGACTGGTTCCGTCGGCGATGCGTCGCTCGGCGAGGGATGGGCGGGTTACCGGACGGAACCCGTCCACGAACCGAGCGAGTGGTTGGGCTCGGTGGGGAGGGGGACCACTGCGCGTGCTGCTGGCGTCATCGGCAGCTGGCGCCAGCAGTTTTCGGGCGGGAGGGGGGGGTTGGCTCCCGCCCCTCGCGTGCCCCGCTAGGCGACGGCGGGAAATCGAAAATCCCTCCGAGGAAAACCCGCAGGGGCGAACGGGGTTTCCCGGAGGGATTCGGGCGACGTCTTCCCTAAAAAAACTACTTTTCCCGATAGGTTGCAAAAGAAAATAGTTTTTCCTCCACAGAGTCTGCTGTTTTGGCGGCAAGGGGCGTTCTGAAAGAGGGAGGGGTCGGATGTAACGCCTGCGGGGCTTACACGTAAGGGTTGAGTGCATCCGCTGCGCCTCAAAACATAACCCTCGTTTTGACCCGGTGGGTAGCGAGGTGTTACATCGGATGTTCCATTCCGAGAGAATCCCAGACTAACACTTGACATTCCGAGTCGGCCTGTCCCGCGACTGCTTCAGTTAGTACACTATAAGTAGCAACGAGCACCACAGTTGTGGTACTGTACTATACGAGAGCGGTGCACTCGCGTGGGCAAGGTGACCAATCTCGACCACTCGCCTGTTTCCATCTGGGGTGGGTGGGTATAGTATAGTATGCACCTGATGCACGTTATAGTCCCCCGTCGTTCCCTTGTCCTCTGGGCTTATAACCGATCTGCGCATTTCGCATGGTTCGTCAACATCGACTGGGCCGTTGGGTGCTTATAAAAAGCACAGGCGGTAACATGTTTGTTTTTTCTATGTATAGTGTTGGGCGGCGTCCTTTGTTGCGCGCTAATGCACTGGGTTACCACATTTATCGAGACCCAACTATCACATGCAATTACAATTCACCTCTCCCTTCATCACAAACATCAATGAACGAATGGGATAGCCACAACTGTCTCTGACGCGACAAACAAACAACCTCCCCAACCCCCCCCCCCCTCCCCCCCCCTCCCCGGCCCTGCTGCGTTATGCAGTCACCGTTTACCACATTTGTGCATGAGTCGTGCACACTTGTGCAAATGCTGAATTTTGCACAATGTAGAGTGAATTTCACAGCCTCATCCACTCAGCCGCAGCGAGATATCCGCTCATCACGGCGGGAGCGCCAGCGTCGATAAGCTCCTGCCGGCGAGCAGATTGGGCAACCCAGTCAGGGGTCGGCACCGCCATCCACGCCGGCAAAAGGCGACCGATTCATGACGTGGATAGTGACGTGCGGGATATTCATCCACGCGTCATGGAGCCATTCCAGCACGCGACGGAGGTTCGGCTTGAACCTTGCCGCCGCGGAAGTCGCGCCATCAGCAGTCCACATGCCGGTGAAGGCGCGGAGCCAGTGCTGGCGGTACCGCGCCTTCGTCATGGCGATCATCCCCTGGTCGAGTGGCTGCGTGAAGCAGGTGGTGTTCGGCGGCAGGTAGACGAGGCGCACGTTACTGAGCTTTCGCGTGCGGAACCCGAATAGATCCTCGGTTTCGGCGCCCTCGGTTGTCAGTGTGTGACTGCTCGCGTTGTCGAGCAGCACGACGACTTGGCGGCCCTCTGCGTACATAGCGGTGTCGAGCTGCTCAAAAAAGTGCGTGAAGAGCTGTAACACAAAGAGGTGTAGGGAAAGTTGGGGTAGGTTAGGCGGCTTTGTCATGATAAAAAACATAGCCGACATCGGGTACATGTTATAACGAGGCGTTGTAGAAGCACAGGCGGTAACAAGTTTGTTTGTCAAATTTTTGTTATGGGGGTTTTTCATGATCACAAAAATAGGCAACATCGGGTACGACACTAACGAGGCGTTTAAAAATTGTAAAAACGGACTCACGGCTTTGGTCATCCACCCCTTAGCGGTGTTGCGCCAGTAGCAATACTCCTCGGGGTCGAAATCCGGCCTGAAGTCGTGTGGCCGCTTAGCCTTGGAGATGACAAGCGGACGGAATGCGTGCGTCCCGTCCGCATTAACCAAGAAGCCGACGGTCAGGCGGTCCTTCGAAAACTTCCGCCCGGCCGACCTGCCCGTGCCGTACGTTTTGCGAGGAAGCACGCTGATATACAGCGCAATCTCGTCGAAGTTGAAAGTATCACGAGGGCGCACGCCGAGATGCATGAGAAGCTGAGGAAGCTTCTCCTTAGTGGTGCGCACTGCGTTGAGATCCTGGTCGGCCGCCTCGCCGACCACGCTCATGCACCGTACTCCCTGGCGGCGCAGCGCACGGCGGACCCAGCCGATGGAGCAACGGAAAGTCGGCGGAACGCCGTTCGCACGCGCCATCGTCGCAACATGGTCGCGAATAGTGGCGAGGGTCAGAGGGACGCCAGCGGGGCCTGCATTCGAAATCCATCGTGCCATCGAGCGCTCCAGTTCGGGGTATGCCCCGCCGCGGACGCGAATGGCGTCCACGGCGTCATCAGGAACGTCCCACCGGTCGGCGCCTTTGAGAACGCGACCAATGGTCGAACGGTCGGGCCTCACACCAAAACGCGTGAAACACCATCGTGCGAGGTCCACGTGGCGCAGCAGAGGGTTTGCCTGATGATGGGCACAAATGGCCCGCTTGATGTGCAGCGCAAGCTGAGACCTATGGTAGAGACCAGGCATCTGGCGAGAATGTTAAGATAACGGAGCATGAATTGCAGTGCTGGTTGTCGAGTGGATTTATGCTGGTGCAAAGGCTGCTCGGATTAGTCACTATGTCTCGAGAGTGTGCGAGGTTTCGCAATTGCTGCGAGATGAACATGCATCAAATACAGTTTCAAGAGATTATGAGACTGGGTAACCACATCCACGAATAGTGACGTGTGTTGTTTGCTGACTGTGAGGCTCACAAGGGGCATGTACCGAGCATTGGCAATGTACACGTCGGAGTTACCTCACAAACACGAACTGTTAGGCACACCTGGTTGATGCACAGGTGGCATGACGTAACATCAATTTTGGGTGGCGACGTTTCACGAATTTTGTCCTTACATTTCGTAGCTTCTGTTTCTGAATTAAAAACAGGGACAGGCCAACCGTCTGACGTTTGTCTTTTGCTGTGTTGCCCAGTTTGGGAGTATTCACCTGGTAGATGCAAGTGGTCTCAGGTGCTTATACCATAGGTGCAACACCAGGGCAAAAAACCCACGGGTGTAAGGTTTCCGAAATGTGCAGGGCTTTTTCGCGTGCAGGGGGTGGGCATCATGTGTAGTTGCCTGCCCGCAGTTCAGTCCGCCCGCCCCATCGGTTCATCAATTGCCAAACGTGTGGTTCACAACGGTACGCGTGTAGTTTTCTTGAGCAACAACTTAGCTCGCTTGCGACCAGGGCTGTCGATTGGTTTGGAGCCAGAACTTGAGAGGCTGAGGTGCCCCAAAAGTTGCCCTGAAATTTACGGGCTGAGAGCAAACCTGGCACTTGAAATCGGGGCTACCAAGTTTTTTGCACTTTCGCTAAGGAAAACCTACATCGATTCGGGTCTGTTATCCTAGGCAAACTACTAAGAGCCAGCTAGGCAATAGGTTGAGGTACGAACCATGTCGATGGATTTGACGGGGATGGGAAAAGGAATAGTGGAGTAGCTGGGAGAGGCGGGGGGACTGGTGAGGGAATGGGGGGAGGGAGGTATTAGTGTGGGACGATAAGGGCTAGCCGGGGGATCGGCACTTGAAATCCGAGTTAGGCCCACAACCAGCACTTTGCGGGGACGGGCTGCCCTCAAACCCAACCCTTAAACTTCGGAAGCTGGGCCGAACCCAACCCTTAATGTTGAGGGCATTAAGGGCATTTGCTCTTGAATCGTCAGCCCTGCTTGCGACAGGGATGGATGGGACCCGAGTCGCGAGCCATAGGTTTAGAACCTGAGTGAACGACAGACGTCACGGTTCAGGGTGTACAGATCTACATATTACAAGAACCGACACTGCTAACACAGTACACCTTACAAGATGTACATTTTTACCTAGGCCCCCATACTTCCTCTGATCCTTTTGACCTTTCTCGTCCATCCAATCTGCCGGTTTCTGATCCAACGGATTTTTGTGCTAGTCATCCATGCCCCTTTTGCTGGGTTTTTACCATCTACCCTTCTGCTTGTTACTTCCTATGCACTGTCAGCAGACGTCCCAGTAGCATAATCATGGGATGGTGGGAGCAATAGAAGCAGCAGAAATAGTGGAAGCAGCTGCAACAGCAGCAACATCAGCAGCTGTAGCACCGGCAGCAGATGCAATTCTAGCAAGGCAGTGGACAGCAAGAGCAACAAAATCGTCCTTGAGCAGCTGAATATTGTTGAGGAGAGCTAATGGGGAGAGAGAGAGAGAGAGAGAGAGAGAGAGAGAGAGAGAGAGAGAGAGAGAGAGAGAGAGAGAGAGAGATAGAGAGAGAGAGAGAGTGATAGAGAGAGAGAGAGTAAGTGAGAGAGAGAGAGAGAGAGAGAGAGAGAGAGAGAGAGAGAGAGAGAGAGAGAGAGAAAAAGGGCGGCAGGGAAGGAGGCAGGCAGAGAGGCTGTAAATGGGGCTATTGGATTTGGGGGGAGAACAAAGTGGTGGCAGCAGATTAGAGAGAGGGGGTTGATGGATAAATGGAGCAGAGAAGGGGCGACTCGGTCAGTGAGACGAGATGAGAGGTTGTTGGAAGTAGAGGAGGGGCGAGTGGTGATATAGGAATGGTTAATCTATAAACTAAGGTTTCTCCTAACGAGGATGGAGAAGCACATGAAGGGGAGGGAAACTTGCGGCAGAAAGTGAACCACCGCCAGCACCAGCACTACCAGCAGCAGCAGCAGCAGCAGCAGCAGCAGTAGTTGTACGAGCAAATGCAGAGTCGTTTCAGGGAGGGGTAGGGACGAACAAGCATTGGCAGAAGCTGCCATTGAGCAACGCTCTTTCTCACTCCTCCTTCCCCACTCTGCTTACCACCAGTGCTGTTGTTGCTGCTGCTTCTTCGATGCTAGTGGCCACGAGGCCTTTGATGTGCCTCACCCTTCTGCCCAATGAGGTTTCCAGCATCAGCCTGAGTGCTGGCAGTGATGACAATTTAGAGGCAGGGGGTGGTGGGGTACCATGTCAAAATATTATATGTTTCTATCTTTCTAGGCTATATAGGGGTTATCTTCAAAGGGTATACCATCTTTCTCGACACTCTTGTACCCCTTCCCCTTGACCTAGCCCACCACTTCTTCCTACCTAGTTATTAGCACCTAGTTCCTGACTCTGACATGGTATTACGAGCAGGTCACGCCGTAGGACCTAATTTTTTCTTAAGGGCCCACCGTTAGTCATACCCTGCCCATTCGTTCTGCCCTGCCCACTTGGTCGCAACCTACTGCCCGCTAGAGCCGTCCTGCCTAGCGATTTCGCGACTGCCCTGCCCATACCCGTCGCGCTGCCTTGTGCGACCGCCCGCCTGCTATCCAAAACGTTGCACGCGTCTGTGAGGATCTGGTTCAGGAAAGATAAACCTATTGAATGATTCACCTGGGTACAAGGCGAGGCTATATATAGGCTCAACTCAAGGCAAGTAACCCGGGTGTTACTAGAAGGTTTCGCGGGTCGCGAAGCATCTCGAACGGGTCCTTCCCGAATCCTGTAGAATGCAATTCGGTGGCAACCGAAAAGCCTAGAAATCGGTGCACTCAACCTAGTTCGGTGTCTATAACTATAATATATTTAGTAAAAGAAACGAACCTAGGAAATCAAGCAAAAGCATGCAAGATAAAATAAAGCTAAGCTAGATAATGCATAAAAGACATAATCAAGCAAGTTTAGCAAAGCCATCATACTCTCACACGTCCCCCACTCAAAGCTGGGTGGCATGAGATACACCCTATTTGACAAGATAATCCTTGAGAGCATGGCGTGCGTTGCCCATATCAGCTTCTGCAACTGTCCTCCGACGGGTCATATCCCTTCCAGCGTAGCAGGAACTCGAGCGTGTTGCCACATCTGTGTCGATGAGCGAGCACTCGTTCCACCTCTTACTCCGGTTCTGTCAGAATGTTATCTTATGCTCTAGCCTGTAGTGGGGTGCTCTATAGCGAGCACAACCCTTCTAGGGTTTCCTATTTGTATCCCCATTCTTGCTAGTGCAGCCCTCTTCTTTCTTCTAACTTTCACATGCTATCATAGCAGGTCGATCCCCTTGGATCGATCCTGTGGGTGGGCTCACCACCTCGTTGCTTCCGCTGCAACTCCTACTGCTACTGCTATCACAACTCTCTGTGCCGCACGCCCCGTGGCGTGCGGCAGTTTTTCATCCCGCCGTGCGCCCCGAGGCACGCGGCGGTTCTCTTCCCGCCGTGCGCCCCGAGGCGCGCAGCGGGTTACTGCCCCGTCACGCCGCGCGCCGCTCCTAGGATGCGCTGCGACGGGCGACGGGGACCTCCGCGTCGCCCCCCGTCGCCCGTCGTGGCCTGCGCGCGGCCCGTACAGCCTGCGCGCGGCACGTGCGGGCCGCGCCAGACCCGTCCGCGGCCCGTACGGGCCGCGCCAGGCCTGCGCGCGACCCGTACGGGCGGCGCCAGGCCCGCGTGCGGCTTGGGCCGCCTGCGCGCGGCTCGAGCGACCCTTCCTGTGGCCCTGGCCCCGGCACCGCCGCCCTTCCTGCGGCCCCGTCGTCCCGCCGCCCTACCTGCGGCCCCGTCGCCCTACCTACACCTCGGCCCCGGCCCCGACGCCCTATCTGCGTACCGGCCCCGTCGCCCTACCTACGGCCCGGCTCCGTCGCCCTACCTACGGTACCGCCTCCCCCCCCCCCCCCCCCCCTTTTCCCGTCACCTGTCGAGGCGACCTGAGGGGGCCGCGCGGGGGGGCGGTGCACGAGTCCCCTGTGCGCCGCGACAGGCGACGGAGCATGGCCGGGGCGGGGCCGGGGCAAGGTCGGGGCAGGGTCGTGAAGGGGCGGCGACGAGGCCGCAAGAGGGCGGCACTGGGGCCGCGAGAGGGCGGCGACGGGGCCGTGAGGAGCGGCTGCAGGGCCGCGAAGGGCGGCGACGGGGCCGCTAGGGGCGGCGACGGGGCTGCGAAGGGCGGCGACGAGGCCGCGAAGGGCGGCGACGGGGCCGCGAAAGGCGGCGACGGGGCCGCGAAGGGCGGCGACGGGGCCGATAGGGGCGGCGACGGGGCCGCGAAGGGCGACGATGGGGCCGCTAGGGGCGGCGACAGGGCCGCGTGGGGGCGGCGACGGGGCCGCGAAGGGCGGCGACGGGGCCGCTAGGGGCGGCGACGGGGCCGCGAAGGGTGGCAACGGGGCCGCTAGAGGCGGCGACGGGGCCGCGAAGAGGCCGCGAGGGGCCTCGAAAGGGCGGCGACGGGGCCGCTAGGGGCGGCGACGGGGCCGCAAAGGGGCCGCGAGGGGCCTTGAGGGGCGGCGACGGGGCTGCTAGGGGCGGCGACGGGGCCGCGAAGGGGCCGCGAGGGGCCTAGAAGGGCGGCACGAAGGGGCCACAAAGGGGCCACGAAGGGCCGCGACGGGCAGCAGGGCAGAGCGCGAAACGCGCTAAGGGCAGGGCAGAAAAAGTTTAGCGAAGTGGTGGGCCCTAGGAAGGAACAGTCCCAGGAGGGAACCAACTCTGATACCATGTGAGAAATGAGGAATGAATGGAAGAAGGAAGTGATTTCACT